GAGGTGCTGCTGAGCTCAAGCCAGGCACTCGCTCAGGTACTTCAGCTGAAGTTTGCTTTTATAATTGGTCTAAGCTTCAAAGTTGAGCATCTTTCAGGACTGAGCCCTGTGAATGGAAATTCTCATGTTCCAGTCTTTGCACACAGGCATTGAAGATCCCATGACACTTTACACAAAAGGAAGAACGTTAACCCCAATGTCCTTGCCAAATGCTAACTTCGTTAATTACAGTCTGCTTTCTTTAATTCTCCTTGCAGTTTTAATTAGATATGGTATTATTCTCTTCCTGTACCACATTGTCACTGGTTATTCCCACTTAACCATTTGCTATGTTAAAGGTTGTTAATCTTTTGTCCAAAGCTGGCTGCATTTTAGATGCAGAAAAATGGCTAATTATATGCTGCTATTTTTACTATGTGTATGCTCAGCCCTTATGAGCCACTTGCATCTAAATTCTTAGACACACAAATAAATATGTGTATCATGGATAGAAAGGTTGGAAATTATGTGACTTACCAGGACTTCTCAGAACAACACAGGTATGAACGAATATAGCTCATAATACCTGCAGGATAAATAAATTATTTCCTGGGACTTATGAATTTTCATACCCAAATGTCTGCATTTCCACATCTCTAAACCAAAAGCAAGAAGATGCTTTTGATGCAGTGTAATCAGCTGGAGTTTTAAAGTGCTTTGGGATTCATCAGATTTGACAGTGCTATATAATTGTAAGATTATCATTGTGCACATATCATATAATTATGCCATTGCAAATGATTTGTACTTTTAGTAAGATTGCATTGGATTTTTGTAAGAGTATGTCGATGTGTATATTTATCTTGTAATGTAGAACTGGAAGCTATTTGAAGCCTCAGTACTGAAAAAACTTTCCCCACTTACATGACATAGTAAGAAAGAAATTGCATGGAGTTTTAGTGCATGTCCAAACAACTAGATGTATTTTGACATGCAATTTGTATAATATATTGTGCCATATATTTTAATTTTGTAATTTAAAAAGTTTTTTCCCAGATGTCTAAATTTCTGAAAGAGCTTCCTGCTTTGACAGAAAAAAAAAACCCCTATTTTTCCTCATGTTGTGTCAAAATTGGCCAATTTATATTTTAAGACTATTCTCAGTGTTCAGTAACATTGGCAAGGAAATTCCTTGGGATTTTCCATGCTTGACATCAATGCAGGGGAAACTCAGGTTGAGAATTTCAACAGAATACTTTGATACATTTTTGACTTTGTATTTTTAAAACTCCCCCATAATCAGAAATGTGAATATTTGCCAAGAAAGACCCAGTCTGGTTTGCTTTGTTGTTCTTATGTGATTTTTTAAATAAGAGGTCATTTGGAAATTTTCACATTAGGAGCACAGTGAAGTTTCATGAGAAGGTTCATGTGGAAAGCCTGCTACTGTCACCCCAGGCTTTCTTTAGAGCCAGTAAGAAGAAACAGAGGTGATTCAGTTCACTCCAAGTGTCCAAGACAGGTCAGATTAATCGCCTGCTATTTCTTCTCCTTCTCCTAAATCCTGACATTGGGAGTTATTCCTTCCACACTAATTCATAGCAGATTTTTCCATGTGTCACCATTTCTGTAGGAACTAAGCGACTGTCAAAAGTAGTCTAATTTACTGGTGCTTTATACCCACTTCGCCCTACTCTAAGTGTGAAAATGCTGTGCTGGTTAACTGAGAATGAAGACAATGTGTCAAAGGGAGACCATCAGTGGTTCTATCCACAAAGAAGCCACTTACCAATCACAGTGGCCATTACAATATGCTGGAGATTTCTACTAAATGCACAGGAAGAAAGAGGCAGCTGATAGTGTGATTGGCACAGCTGCTTTGGCACTGGGCAGAATCACCCAGACAAATCCTGAAGGGAGACAGCAAACCAAAGTCTAGATGGGAGGTAGGTATGAAGAAAAGAATCTTTTTTTTTGCATGTCCTTTTTACAACCAGGTGGGTAAGCTGTTTATTCTGTTATCCAGTCCTTCAGAGGATGACAGACTTAAGAAAAGTCAAACCATTCTGTATTGCGAAAGAGTAATCTACCTATGGATTGTTAAAAATGGTAGTATTTTTCACACTTGTGAATGTTTCAATCAGAAAGACGGATTCTGTAGCCCAGAAATTAGAGCTTTCAGATAGGTAAATGAGTGAGAATTTTGTAGGCTCTCTGTGACAGTGCTGTTGAATAGAGTTATTCTCTGATGTCCAAGTTCCAGAGAATAATTTAGGACAGTTAACATTAGATCAAAGTTTCTCTTTAATGGCGTGGCAGAACACTGATTTTGACACTCTTAGTGATTAACACATATGTGAATCATTCTAATTAGTGAGGTTATAAGATTGTAGCCATCAGTAGATGAATAACTTGGGTTTGTGTTTCATTTTCATCATCTCCACATGGGAGTTATGACTCTGCTTTCTTAATGACTGATAAAAATTGCGAAATGATGAGCGGAAAAATGCTGGAGACCATCTGTGTAAAACAAAGATGATATGGGACATTTGGGAAAATATTTCATGCCCTTCACTGCTTGATGGAAGCATTAGTGCAGCCAGACATAGACCATGGGCTGATACTCGCTTGCAGCCTTGGCTGTGTGGGATGACACTGCCCCAGCAGTTCTGCTGATGGAAGGAGCGGTATGAGCTCTTATCACTCCAGCCATCAGCGGCTGAATTAGATGGAAGAACCTTCATCAACTGTGTAATCAAATTCAGCTGAAATGGCTACCTTTGGCTTTAAGTTGAGTTTACTCGTCCTCATGCACTTCTGAACTTTCATGTGTGCTAGTATTAGTTTTTCATTTTAAGCTAAGTAATTACTATTGGTGACCTTTTCTCTTGGATCTTGGTGTTGTTGTTGATGAATTAATGCTTGAAAATCAGAAGTAATCAATGATGTATCTCACGTGTTTGTGTCAAACTATGGTTTACAATTCTGATTTTTTTCATTAGTGGTGATGATCTTATAAATTACCACCAGTTTCATGCAAATTATTGAATTTATATATACAGCTGTGTGAAATATGTAAAATATGATAGATATGCATTTCTCATTTATTAGATTAGATTATTTTAAGTGGTTACTATTTCCTAGCATTTCACAAAAACAGTAGCCTAAACCACGTGACAGCTTTATCCAAAGTCCACTGGAGTAAGTGTAGGAGTCACACTTACTCTCATTTTTTATATCAGCACTAAACATGAAAATTCTGTTTTCATATCATTTCAATTTCATTTACATGAATGTAGTAAGTCATAAAATATGTGTCTAGCGCTAATATGAGTTCACTTTTTTAATATAGTTATAGTATCCCTGGAACAAAGAAAATGCAAAGGTAACGCTGCAGTGAATTCTGTAACACTTGTCAGTTTACCACTCTGGAATGAAACAAAGGTGCTTAATGTGGGAATGTGCTTAGCGTTCAAATCCTGCATATTAAACATAGCTTGTTCTTGACTAATACTCAACTGAATTCCAAACATTCTTTAAAAAAGTATTTTCATTGAGAGATCAAATATGTAAGAAGATTTTCAAAACTGACTTGGTGTTGTGATTTCTAACAGTATTTAAAAATTTCCAGTTCTCCTAACTAATAAGCCTCTAGAAATATGAGCATGTTATTTATGTTTATTAAAAAAGATTTCTGATTGCTTAATTTCATTGTGGGTTATAAAATTAAGAGAATTTAACACAAACTAGGTTCTCAGATAATTTAGTGAAGTTATTAGCTAATTTATTAAAATTATTATTTAAAAATAAAACTATTTACAATTTCAGATTTAATATGAAAATATAGCAAGCACTGCCCTGGAAAAGTTTCACACTAAGCAAGTCATTGGTAAAGTGTCTCCATTCAAAATAACTTGTGGTGAACCTCACACTCTCTACAAGTAGAAAAATGATGAGAGGCTAAAAATAGTTGGTTCACAGCAGACCTATGGTTGGCGTCTCGGTGACCTGCCTGAAAAATTTCAGGGTGTTTCAGGATCCGTGGCTGCAGGGCATGTCTTTAAAAACATGTTTTCTTGTCTATGAAAAACAATTTTCTTAAATAACTCCTAATTTCCTTCCATTCTTTTCTATCTCAATTAAGTTGTTTTACTCACAATTTTCCTCACACTTTATTTCTGGTCATAGAAACTGAAAAAAGCCTGAACTGTTCTTTACTAAACTTCTACATATTTTAGAATCATTTCAGATATGTAAAATTATTCAAGTAAAAGTAATATTTGGAATTTGTAATTATCTGGAATCCATAGAAACATACTTTAGCCTTATTTCCCTCTAAGTGCATTGTATGGTTTTATTTAATACATTTTGGGAGATAATAAGGATAATGATACACATGATCATACATGTTATGCATGTTAAAACCATTAGGTTATCTGGTCTGTACTGACAACAGCACAGTTTCTTTCCTTAAAACGTATTCTTTGATGTTTTGTCCACTCTAATTTTAACTGTTGCACTTAAGTGGGTCACTGAATCTTTATACTGCTAAACTAGGTGCAGTATGAAGTATGAATTTGGAGTTTAGTGATGTGGCTTAAAAATCACTGGGGAGTAGGTCAAACCCAGCAAGGGTATTTTTACTGTCAACCTAATTCATGTTTGAAGTGCAGTTGTGGTAATCCTGTTATTGGAAAATATGGTATAGAAGTAACTAAAAAATGGACACTGAGGGCTATATCCTGCCATCACTCTGCACCTGAAACCGACACAAACAGCACTTAGATGCTTGTGGAACAGTGGCAGATTCTGACCCTTATATTTTACATTATAGTACATAATGGCAAACTTTCCCTTTTGACATATATGCACAGCTCCTTCTAAGGGTATCAGGTCATATTCAAAGAAATTAGCTCTTTGTATTTATGTTTTTATTATTATTATTATTATTATTATTTTAAGTCTTTAATTTATTTTATTTTTTTTTCTCTTATTCTTCTTTCCTCCTCCTGCCCCTCAAGCTATCTAGCAGCATTTTGGATATATATAACAGTGACCAGGGAATGGCACCAGCCAATATGGGTCTCACAAATGCTTCTTGCCCAGCTAATCTACCAGTAAAAAGGGAACTCACAGGTAAAAGAAATCTGAGATTTTAGTACTTTATAATTTCAGACGTGATTATGTTTCTTTTAAAAGTTGAATAAATCTTACCCATGAAATAAATCTCCATAATTCATTTCCTGAGAATTTTAAAGTTTGTTGTTTCATTTAAGGTAAAGAACAATGACCAAGGAGAGACATTTTGGTTTTGTTCTCCTCTTCAGCAATTCAGAAACCATGTTTGCCCCTTGGATTTTATGCTTCTGATAAAGCTAATGATTTTAGGAAACATAGTGGATTCTTCCACATATTGGCTCCTGATCAACGGTATAAATAAATTATCATCCATTAAATTTGTTCCATGGTGGAATAAATGGTTCTTTTAAAAGCTTACAATGAGGCTATTCAAGGTAAATCTATATTAGTGGATTAACAACTTTAAAAGTTACATTCAATTAATCCAAAGAATGCTAACAACCATGTACAGTTTATTAACGTCACTCAGAGGAAACAGTGAGTTTGTTCAATATCTTACAAATCTGATTAACTCTTGCATTATGGGATATACAAATCCATATTCACATTAGTGTATTGTAAGTTTTATCCTGATGTAAAACACAGTCAGGAAAAATACCCCTCCATAGCATTTCTGTTCTTAAATAAAAAATATGCAATAAAAAAAGTCTTAAGCAACCTGCCAGACTTGCTCAAAAATTTAGTACTTGTAGAATATAGATTTGCTTATGATCTTGTTTAATAATAAAAAGAGTAATGAAGTAAAAAGACTAGAAGCCTGCTCTTTATGACAAGAGGCCACTTTGAAAAGGTGAAAGAAGTACTGGAATTGCAACTTAAGGACTGTTTTAATAAATGTTACTTTCTGTCAGAAGCAGATACACGAGCAATGGCAAAGGAGAGACAAAAAAAGGATAACCACAATCTCAGTAAGTATATGTTCATCTTCCATCTCATTAAATGGAATGTAAGGAGAATGCAAAAATAATATACATTAGCTACCATGTCTCCATTCTTTTTCTATATCAGCATCTTGCCAGGGTAATCAAATTGAACTCAGTCTGTAAATACAACCAACCATACAGCTTTCTTCCCTGAAGAAACTCTTTCAAAATACTTTGCATATTTCAATGAACTTCTTTCTAGATCATCTCCTGGTCCTATATTTTTATTCTAGTTGTACATGTATCCTACATTATTCCGTTTTATTTGATGTTGTCTTTAAGAATTACAGTGCAAAACAGACAAGAAAGGAGGCAGATGATAAAAAAACCAACCCCAACAGCGAAGATCCAGCCTCCTCACACTTTTCTTACTGAAGCATCTAAATGAGAGGCTGTACCTCTCTAGGGGTGATGGGAAGGAAAAGAAGCATTTAAAGAGAATATCAGACAACTTCCAAATGCTAGTTAAGCACTTAAAGTTGTGGAAATCATATGCCACAAAAGGAGATTGGTGCAGGACTGGGTGAGACACATGATGCTGGAATAGGCTGCCCAGGGAAGTGGTTGAGTCGCCATCCCTGGACGTGTCTAAGAGTCATTTAGATCTGGTGTTGGTGGAGAAGGTGTAAGGCAGAACTTTGTAGAGAAGGTTTGATGGTTGGACTCTATGATCCCAAGGGTCTTTTCCAACCTAAATAATTCTATGATTCTATGATACACAAGCCCCCTAAGCTCTGTTGGCTGAGATCCACTTCCCTTTACAGAAAACAGTGCAGGCATATACAGACGTTAATCATTGCAGTTCTAAAGGAACAGTCTGCTCTAGTTTAGACTTAGAACACAGTGAATTTCATAGTTCAGTGTCTAAATATTAAACTTCTAAAAATAAAAAACTTTTTAGTTTGTCCAAAATTGGAAGAAAAAAAAAAATATTGCTGAAAGAAGACTGCCTGTAAAATTAGGCAATTTTTCCCTCTAAAGAATAATTTGAAACAAATAGTCTGGAGCATTCTCTTTGGATATTGTTGAATAAAAGAATTACATCTTCCAGTTCTCCTTTCTACTTTTTTTCCAGCAGAAATAGTCTGTGAATCTAAACCTAAATTGGTAATTACTTAATAGCCACTATTTACATCTTTTTTCTCTGGCTATTCCGTAATCTTTGAGAGATTTAAGACTTTACTCTCATGAAATTGCGTACCTGGAAGTATCCACTGGTAAAGCAAGCTACCAACCACTGTGGACAACTTTCTGCTACTTAGAATTTCCAGAAGTTATCCTTATTTCTGCCTGTATGATTTTATGGATTACGAACAGACCATGTAGATATTTATTTTGGCTCTGAGATCATCCCTCTTGAACACAGCAGACATGGCTGAGAACTGTCCCTCACGACTGGTGACTGGCCTGAAGGCTGTATGCCAGGATGACAGCACACAGACATATAACATCTCCTCTCTTTTGGCTCCAGGTGTATATTTCAGAGTTCAAAGTCTCTCTGGAGACTTGGACATATAAACGTATTACATATAAGAGCTTTGTTAGTGTGATTTACTCTTTTATGAGTACCAGTTTTTTTAGAGGTAGTCTGAAAAATCAGGTTTTGGAATTTGATCAGAATAATACAATCGTGTTTTGGGTTGAATTTAGGTCCACATTTTGCAGAAATGTTCTTGTACCTCCTCATACCAAGGAGAAACTGGAGAAAAAGTTATTTTTGAAAGGTTAAATCCTAAACGAAACCATGAAAAGGGATTTAGGTCTAAGAAATGGAACCCCTTCTTCATGTGACAGGAAGTTTTTAAACCATTACTAAATGTATTTTTGGGGGGGGTTGGTTGTAGGGTTTTTTTTTGTTTGCTATTTTTCTTTTTTAAACAAAGAATTAAAAGGGCGTAATGTGTGTTTGCTGTATTATCTGTATACATGGATGAGAGGAGCATATATCCCTTCTGCCCGTGTTCTAGGCTGGCCTATGTGGGTCAGCTCTGATCTGACAGAATATAGTGTCATTATCATATCAAGCCCAACGTAAGAGCTTCCAAGAAGCGAGAGATAACAGAAATGGTTCAATGCAATGCTAATGATGAACCAAAGCTGAGTCCTGTCATGAATTCAGGAGATTTGGATTGAATCAAAGTGTTATATGGAGGGAGTGGACAAAAGTGCGAGTTCACACCAGTATAACGTCACTGCTGGTCTTCGACAGCAGTACCACAGCGGGACTACATACTCACTGCATATACCTTTTATATCACAATTATATACAAGAAATTCTCCAAAGCCATTGGAAGTCCTTTGGGCTTATCCACTAGAAAATGTGAGGTTTCTGCATATAAAGGCTGGAGAAAAACTGGTGAGGAAGCAGAGGAGAATTGTCTCTAAATTGGTGAAATGGGAAGCAGGAAGGTGACAGTCCTGTGCAGAGAAGGGGCACACACTCCAGTCTGGATACAAGTCCGATGCTGATGAAGTGGACTGAAAGCACGGAGAGGGGGAACTGCTTTTAAGAAGCTTATCTTCTTTTTTTCCTTTTAAGTAAACTGCAAGTAAGCAAAGATACCATACATAGTTTGTCTTAGGAGAAGCATAAACTTAAATACAGATTTTTAAAAATTATTTAAATTAGTTTTTTCTTCATTTTCTGTGTGTTTTAAAAGTTATTGTAAATAAGCTTATGCTGTATCATCAACGGAAAAAGATGTGCTGGGAATGAAGTGTTTCTGGTAAGCAGTCTTTCTCAGTTTCAATGAAGGGATATGGTCGCAGATGTGTCCTCTGTTTTGCAATGCTGACAACAGTTGATAAGAGACAGTGAAGCTGTTAACTGTGATTATTAGCAGGAGTTCTGCCAAAATATGAAATGCTGTATGAGTTGTCCTGTGTCCCTGCTGAAGTTATCAGCAAAACTCAAGTAAGCTAAAAACTCAGTTCTAGGGGAGCAGGGTAGAAATAGGATACATAAACATCAGAAAAAAGGAAGTGTTAGCTCACATTCAGAGGATGTGTGACTATTTCATTCTCTAGGAGTCTAGTTGTAAATGGGTGGAAAACCCACAGCAGGGTAAGATACAGACATGGTACTAATCATAGAGTTTGTCCTGAGAGTAAGTCAGAGACGAGTAAGAGATCATGTTGGGATTTCTATTTGAGGAAGAGATTTTCTGTACATTGACTGACTTCTTTTTAACTAATTAAAATGTTTTACGTTGAATTTGTACCAGAATATTTCACCATAAAAATAGTAACTGTTTCTTTTCAACAGTTGAGAGAAGAAGAAGGTATAATATTAATTACCGAATCAAGGAGCTTGGCACACTCATCCCCAAGTCTAATGATCCGTGAGTTCAACAGTCTTTCCTATAATAATGTTTATAGTCTAAATACAGGGGGAAAAAAAAGACAGTTGAATATACTGGCTATAGGACTGAGTAATGGGATAAAAAATCTTCCATGCCAGGTCACTAGCTCAGATCAGGCTGTTAAAGTAACAAATCTTTGACAGATTTTTGGTGCCTGTTGGGAAAACTTATGTGAAAGGGTAATAAAATGAGAGCAATCCCAGGGTGTTTAAGAGAAACTGCCACAGCAGGGGAAAAAAACCCAAAAAACCACAACAACAACAACAAAAAACCAAACCAAACCAAACAACAAAGAAACCCTCAACAAACAAAACCAGTAATAAGTAAAAAAGAAAATAAACCAAACAACAGAAAGCCCAGCTCTCTGTCCCTGGGAGCAATTGCGTGGTGTCTCTGGAGAAGGAAGGAGGGATGCTTTCAGCCCTTGCCATGGGCCCTCTAGTGGGATAAAACAAAATGCATGTTGTCACTGTTCTCCTTTTGCCTAAGAAAAAATAAATTCAGCTTATGAGTCTGTAGACTGAGCATTTTTCAGAAGTCCACCACTCAGTGCAGGAAAAACAACAGTCTAAAATAATATTTGCTATAATTGCTATAATAATAACATTTTATACTAATGCATATGCTTACAGTAACACAAAATGCATATTCCTTAAACTATACCTGCTTTCCCTTAAAGCTTATATTTGTCATCACTAAGAAAAAAGCCATCTCAGCAGTAAAGCCAATTGCAGGATTAGCAATAACAGTTCAGTGTGATATTTAATGCACTTTAGCCTTAGATTTCTCATGTCACTCAGGGAAGCCTTAAGACCATGCACTAGCATGATTGTGACTCGCATAAAATTGATTATCCAGATTTTGTCTTTATCATTTGCATGTCAATACAGACCTGCATGATACTTCAAATGAAAACTTCTATTGATATTTCAGCCTTTTTTTTTTTATTTTTTTCCTTTGGACTAAGAAAGTCTTGATTATATTAAGGATTTCTATAACAATAGAAAGCTGTGTGAGACTTACATGAGTACAAGGCTGGCATAACAAGCCACTTGGAGTGATATCGCCAGAGAGAAAGTTAACATACTGCATCCATTTTAGAGAAATCACAAAGTCATCTCCTTCTACAGCATCGACCCAAGATTAGATAAATTGGCATGTTCCTGTTATTAATACAGAATTAAGTATTACAGCCGAGTTAAAGTAAGAAGCTCTTTAAGTACCTAAATAAAGTTTTGGCCACGTGTGATCTGCGAGAACACAGATTGGTCAAGGAATTTTAATTTTGCTGGCGCATCTTTCAGTATTCAAGACCATTTGGGCAAATAATTGAAAGATTTCTCAGAAAAACAGTGGATGGCACTGTTGGTTTGCAGCTATAAAGCAATAATGGAAGCAAGTTATACTGCAATTAGAAATGGACATGAGGTACAAATTCCAGTTGTGGACTGTGGAATTGAAACACGGAGGTGTTTCAATTACATATTTTGGTCTGGATTCAGGTTTAGTTTATGAGCTTATTCTGAACATAAATATCTAGAGCAATCCCTTAAGCTCTTCTTAAAATGAGTGATCTGGACATGTAATTTTGCTCCAGTAAGTGGATGATGGATTTTACCCGCAGATTTTGGTGGTGTTGCCTGATGAAAAAGTTTTGAGTATAGAACCTAAAGATATCACCTTTTTCTGTTTTAGTCTGCAAACCCATGATAGAGTTCAACAGTTACAGCCCCAAAGTGGCTCGTGTTTACAAAAACACAAAGTGAACTTAAGCGTGTCATGTTCTGAGGACTGCTGTCTTCAAAATGCTGGTAATCAGTGCTCTTTTTGAAAATAGGCCAATTTAAAAGCTTTCAAGTTTGTCTTAAGAAAAAAAGAGGCATCTAAAGGCACTGAACGATTTTGAAAAACTAGATTATAACATAACCTTGCTATTGCTTGGTGCCAGGTTAAATTAATCCAAAGAAGTGTAAACATTTTTTTTTTTATATTTGAGGGTGGAAATACATTAATTTTATTGTTTTGTTGGTCAAGCAGATCAAAATTATTATTTCTTTCTGGTATGGTCCAGTGTTGCCAAATCATAACTCAGTGTCCTTACCCTCTCTTTCAGTTCTTGCTTTTTCCTTCATAACACCTTACTGTGCCCCCAATCTGCCCTCTTCTTCTTTGAAAGAAAGAGATGTATCATCTCTTATAATACTTTGTCTGTAACATTTTATCACACATAGCATTTTCACCCCATATATTGATTTTAGAAGATTCTTCTTATAGTGGGAACTTAGCTGTAAAAGGAGAAACCTTACTGATGCTTGAACTAATGACAGTGAAGCAAATCAGCCTTTGCATTGAAGAGCAAATACTACTATAACTAAGCCATTGTGGTTAGCATGCCTGTCCCAGATGGCTTGCTTCAAGAAGATTACATTCAGACTCAGGAACAGAAAAGCACATTTTTGATGCTATTTGGAAACCTTTTATGATTTATATTTCTTAGAAGTGGTGTGTGGGGTTTTTATTTCACTTTTGTTTTGTTAGTTATATAGTGAACTTGTTTGGCTCCTGCAGAGCTTCCGCAGGGACTTTCTTTTGACTGGCTTAAACCCCTATTCTTTTCTTTCTTTCTTTCTTTCTTTTTTTTTTTTTTTTTTTTTTTTTTTTTTTTTTTTTTTTTTTTTTTTATTTTTAATTTAATGATGAAAAGTGTGGATTACATTGCTTAAATGAATGGGTGTTTTAAGTTCACTTCATCAGCATTAGAAAATGAGATAAGTAGAAGTTGCAAAGAACTTTGACTCTTTTGTTTAATTTTCAATGCTTAGATACCCGAGTTGCAGATGATTCAGAAATGCAAAAGAGTTATACAGAATAACTCAAAAACAGAGTTAAAAAAGGCCCAAAGTACCCAGTCATATTTTGCTGAAAAACTCATAACCTGCTCCTTTAAATACCTTTCTATTCCTGGTTCCTTTGTGTTCAGCCTTTCAGAACTGAGTTTTAAGTGGGTTAACAGGACTTCACATTGTGATACAGTCTGGAAATGCCTATGCAAGGACTGTTTCATGGTAGCCAACAAGAATTGCCAGACATACTAAGAAAAAAATATCTTTCCTTTCAGAGTTCTAGCCGGTTTACAGAGCCAGGATGTTAAAGAGAAGCACTGAGGATTTGGACAGAAGCAGTGGGCTGCTGTCACTCTCTGCTCTCTGCATCTGCCTGTGCTTGACCTTCTGACTGCTGTCTGTGGACAGTCCCTCTAACATTTCTTGTAGAGGAAAACCTTGTGTACACTCATGCGATTATGAAATAGAAACTTGATGCTCCTTTCAGAAGGATACACTTTGTAATTGTGTAGGTCATCAAAACAAGTACAAAGTCCTTCAAAGTGTTTCTTTGAGCAAGCATAGTTTAAAGCTAATTTCTTAGAAACAGGGAAAGAAATGGTCTGCAAACACAGTTTCAGTTTCACAAACGTATTTGTTATTAGTAACTGCTCTGTTGCTGGCAGACTCTGTGACTATCACCCTCTCCCAAACTCTGTTTTTTGTTAATTAATTTTAATCTTAGATGATCAGATCCTATCGTCCTGCCTACAAGAGTTGAACTTGTAAACTAGTGGAGCTACTTTGACATCAGCAAAGTTGCCTTAATGGAAATGAGCTGAAGATCAGTCTCATGGCTACGTTTCTTTTCTCCTAAATGAGAAACTCTCCTAGGAGACACTTACGTGTTTTGGTCTAGGCATTTGAGATTTGTAGAGAGATTCAGAGGGTAAAGTTAGGAGAAGCTAGGGTTCCAACACAATGTGTTTTTTACTTATTTGCTACTTTTCCATGTAGACCTCTGGTAATTACACTAGATAACACATGTGTAGCTTGCTAAGAATTTCAATTATGCACACACAAAGACACAATCCTCCAATCTGGTCATTGCTGATGACCAGATCTGCAAAACCGCTTATGGCTCTCAACTGAATTGCTTCACGAGCAGAGTTTCCCATGTGTTTCAGTATTTACAGGATGGAGCCTTACATGTACACAATAAAATAAAAAGGGAGGAAAAAAAGACAGGAATTAATAGACAGTGAAAGAGTAAAATGGAAAAAAAAATAATAATTCCCGCCATCTCCAAAGACTAGTTGATCTGTACAGAACTTCATAGGTCCAAAACAGTTATGAATGCAGAAGAGGAAGAGGGATTGCCAAGAGGTGATTCAGTTGTTGTAAGGGAGACAGGTTCTGCTCGTGGCTCCCAGTTCCACCTTTGCTTTAGATTTTTGACTAGGGAATGTCTAAATGAGAGTACATAGACATTTCTGCAATAAATCCATTCCAGCACTATAAGCAAGCACGTGAGTAGAAGCAAGTCTCATTAACTAAAGCAACCAAGGAATACGGGAAAGTGATGATTGACTGGAATATAATTTATTTTCTTTTTGACTCTATACATGCCACCATATAAATATATGCATGTGGAATAGGTACTAAAAAAAACCCCCACACTGAGGTGGTTACTTGTCACTCCCAACCCCAGATTCTTACTGGTTTTAGTAGCTTTTTCTTTCTCAGGCTTGCTTTATAGAACCAGAACCTCTATCAATCTTCTGCTCAGTCTCAGCTGTCTTGAAGTGGATAGTTTGAATAAACCTTTCTGTCTATATTTAATGCCATGGTGCCATCTAATAACATGCCCAAATATTATTAGAAATTAGACATTTTCAACATTTTTTTTTCTTGTTCCAAGGCCTCCAAGACAATAAAGGAATACATGGGAAGTTGATAAATGGGTACATGAAGGTTCTTGAACAGATGTAACTGAACAAGTGTGGTGTTGTTAGTGAGACTGTTTGTAAGCTGGAAGTTAAACCATAATTTCCTGAGCAATGGACGTGTTTAATCCTTTTTTTTTTTTTTGTAAGAATTTTATTTTTAGTTGGGCTCTGCACGTAGCTGTGGATTTTAACTTGGTTTATATTGTTTCAAGATTTTTGAATAGGATTTTTGTCATTCCATAGCCATTATGGTTACCAAACTGTGATTGTCTGGTCTATCATCAATGAGGAGTGGCATTCAGCACGGACCATTTTTTTCTCAACTAGCATAAAAGCAACCTCATTAGTAAGTCAGGTAAAAGGAGTAGTATATTCAAAATGATCTTTAAAAATTTAGGCTTAAGTCCTCAGTAATGTATATTTCCTAGTTCATTAATGCAGAAATACTGCACATAGATTTTAATCTTAGAGTTAATAATAAAAGCAATTTTCACTAAAAATATAAAAACTGTAATGGTAGAATCATGATATTGCATTTAGCTCTCCCACAAAAAGTCACTTTATTACTTTCTTTTGACACTTATTTTCATTCTGGGATTAATTTTACTATATAAGGGCTTCTTAACTATTCTATTAAAATTTCCATTCAGAAGCAATAATATCTAAGAGTGAATAATAGTCATGTAAATCATTATTTCATATTAATGTAAAAGATTTTGTAAGTTCTTATGAATTCTGCTGACATGCACAATTGTGAAAAGGTTATCTCTACATTCTGCAGTGATATGCGCTGGAACAAAGGAACTATTTTAAAAGCATCAGTGGAGTACATCAAGTGGCTACAAAAAGAACAACAGAGAGCCAGAGAATTAGAACACAGGCAGAAGAAATTAGAGCATGCTAACAGACGACTTCTACTCCGAATTCAGGTTTGTATAAAAGAGTCGCCATGAACTACAAAGCTTTCTCAGTACTTATCCCTCATCAAATTTTATTAATCTATATCACTTTCCCCCAAATGGCATTTACTAAAAATGAATTGGCTTTCCCTATTTATTGCTGTGTATACTGGGGAGGGGGTATCTTTTGGATTTCTAGGAAATACCTTTGGTAATTAGACCTTACCAAAAGAAATACATGCAAAGTTAATCAAATATTTGTACAAACAGTTTCCTTATGAATGTATTGTAGCCAGAGAAAGACAAAAAAAAGGAAGCAAAGAAATGTATCTCTGCAGCTAAAAATCAATACAGGACACAAAATTTCCTTCAGTGTTTTTGTTTTCCTTTTGTAACCATTTCACACGTTACACTTCCCTGGGTATAGTGTGCCATGCTATATCTGCTTGCCACATGAAGCAGCAGAATATGACCCTGCATAGCTTGAGATGAAAGATTTGAATACAGACACATATGAGGATGAGATGATAGACAGACAGACAGACAGACATAAAATCAATCATCTTATATATGGTGATTTACGCATATATCTGTATATCATAAGCATCATCAAATAAAGTATCTTCTGTTTCTCTGGATAGCCATGGATAATGAGCTAGGAAGTTGCAACGTTTTTCCATCAGCTTTACTGGGTTCAGTATGCAATGGTTTTAGAGAGGCTGTCCCAACTTCTGTGTTCTCGTAGGACAGCTGTTTACCAACAGGAGGGGAAATGAAAACACTTGAGTGGCAAGTTATCATAGGTTAACAATTTCATATTTTAAAATATAATCTCACAACTGGACTAAAGGTATAATTAATTTGCATGTATGATGCATATACTTATTGCAATAGGTCTGAAGCCACTGTTCTGTCTTTTAAAGTCACTATCTAATTGTTTTTGTCTGAAACGTTAGGAACTAGAGATCCAGGCACGTGCACACGGCCTCCCAGTCATGTCTTCCCTCAGTGCTGTCGATTTAGCTGCACAGGTCATCAAGCAACAGTCTTACGCGGAGAACTCCGTAGACTACTCTCAACAAATGCCTCTGGCACATGGACCAAATTCTGATGTTTGTGATGGATCTACAGCCTTTTCTGATCCGCTTTCACACTTCACGGATTTGTCCTTCAGCGCAGCTTTAAAAGAAGAGCAGCGGCTGGAGGAAATTTTACTGGATGACACGGTGTCGCCATTTGGAACAGACCCACTCTTGTCCTCCACGTCCCCAGCTGCATCGAAAGAGAGCAGCAGGAGGAGCAGCTTTAGCACAGATGATGGAGATGATTTATAAAAGCAGAAAGGGCCTCATACTTCTCTCAATCACTTGCTAAAAGACTGAGTTGAACGTAAGCATGGTGTTTGTGCTTATTTTAAATATGAATAAGGAGAGTCACTGTGAAGATAAGTTACTACATACAAGGGTTTAAATCAGCCCTTACTTTGCAGGAAACTGAGACGGACATGAACTCATATCACTTTGCCCAAAATTCACACTCTTGGTTCACAGCTGACATTTGCACAAATCTTTATTCACTGGGAAAGTTTTTACTAATAGTAAAGCTAATAGTTCCATGACTTTTTACAGCACTATGAAAATGGTTACTGCAAAAGGAATATCCATGTTACAAAAATGTATTGAAACTCCCTCTTCAATATGCACTCACTATTCTCTGCTATCAACATGAGTCATTTTTTAATTTCTCTTTTTTATATAACTAAAAATTCTACAAAATGTGAAGCAACAGGGAAGTATTTAAGTTGGGAAATATAGAGATGTTACAGGTTTTAAAATCTGAAAAAACGGATGGTAATAGTTTCACACAAGTGCAGTGAGCATGAAATTTAAACTGCCTAGGCTTCTCTTTAAAAGGAGAAAATCCATTAAGCTTTTCATGGAATTCCATTTTTTAAAAATTTCATTTGTAGAAAAAGAACAGACTTTTAATATATGTTTTAATGATATAGAAGAAAAATGGAAACTAACATAATGACAGAGACTTGGGTGAACTCAGACAGAAAAAGGTATGACATTTCAGCAGAAAGACTGTATGGATGTACAAGACTCAACAAAAATACACAATTAGCACTGTCGGTAACAGTGTAACGTCAACTGCTTACTCCAAGAATATTCAAACTGTGTCATCTTTTGTGTGGAAGAGTTCAGAATTCAGACACACAAGGCTTCTAGACAATGCTTTCAGTCTCCTTTGGCAGCACAGCAAGGTTTTTCCAAAGAGACTCCACTTTATCCATACACGTGCCTTTTCTTCATTTGGAGATGGAGGGAAATGTCAAGATTTCCATTGCATACACTTGAAACAAAGAGAATTTAATTTTAAATTTGGCGTTGAATTCACTACGGAAAATCTGAAAAGAAAGACTTTTCAAATGAGAGGGGATATTCAAAAGTGTTGACATGATGCACTGCCTCTCACAACTTGCTTGCTAAGAGGGGGCGTTCAGAAAATGTGTTTTGATGAGTCAGTAAAGGCTTGGCAGTTAGAGGGCAGGTAGGAGGCATAACATTTCTATATGTAGTGAATTTCTGGAGTGATGTATGTTCCTGGAGGACATTAAGTGCAATCATTCTAATTGTAATATTAATACATGGGAAAATAAGCTGGGACAGGTCCTTCATAGTTCTTCCTCAACCAGAGCCAAAAGATCACATTAGGGAGTTCTCTAATGATTCAAAATGTGTTTCAAAAGTATGTATTAATTTTGCTGTCAATGAGCCTGCTTCTAATGCTAGAAGTGTCACAGGATTGGAAACAGTAAGAGGAGATTAAAATGGATTGTTGTTTGTGTGAATGTTTTAAATGTATTTCAACATATTACCCAAGAACAGAGCAATGATATCTTCCTATTCCCTCTTCTATTACTGGTACCCAGGCTGTCCTCACAGTCCTTGTGAAGTTTGAGTTCCTGACCAACCCAGATAGTGTCACGATAGTTTCTTATTTGGAGAGTAAGCAGTGGCATAATAAATTATATCCGATGACTATGAAAGATGATGGAGTATTCAACATCAAAATCATATTTATCTTTTCAGGAAACTCAATGATTTATATGAGCCTATGCAAACTACTTGGATATAAGCTGAACAAAGCAGAACTGACCTTGTTGCATATGTGTGGTGTCCCAGACAGCCCAGCACACACCTGACCCTCACAAGAGGCTAAGATGTGCTTCCGCTGTGTGGTTAAAAATAATAACAACAACAAACAGTGGTCTGGTAATTTTTATTTTTTTTTTTAGCATGGAAGAAAGGAATGGAAAGACAAATGAATATTAACCAAAGGTAACTGAACATAGAACTGATCATTATTTTAATTAGAGTGCTTCTATAAATTAAGCTCATTAGAAGTGGAACCACTGTGTCATAGTTTTACCAAAGAGTAGCTAATATTGACATTTGAATACAAAATATGATGAATTAAAACTAACATTTGTGCCCACATTATATGTAGTGTAGGATGCGTATTGTCCATTTCAGCTGATAAAAGGAGGGGATACTTGGTTGATAGCAAATGCCATTTGTCCTTGTACTGCAGTTTCTACTACATTAGTTTTAAATACACCAGTGTGGATTGCTCATAATGGAGAAAAAGAAATTAAATATGAATGTATTACATGATTTTCCCATTGAACTTTTACATGGGAGTTAGACCATACTTCTGAACTATATTGACTTTAAATAACATCCTGAATTTCATCACTTTTATAAGCACTGTTCTAAAAAAAACATTATAGCGCATCCATTAAATTTTTTAAAGTTGATTTTCATTCTTCTGACAATTACTTCAGTCTGAAGCACTAGGCTTTTTTTTTTTATCTTCCTGCATGAGAAGCTTAACAGAAGATAGTGAATGCTCCTTTAGCAATATACCGTGTTGCACCTATCATTAAACACATTCAAGCTGTCTTCGTTCACACAAAATGCCCAACCTCCTCGCCCAAAACACTAAATGTATCCATACCTATAGGTGTATATTATGGCAATGTTGTTTCACTGCTGTTATGTTTGTTCCAGTAGGAAGTCATAATTAGTATTTTAGCTAATAACTATAACCTGTATTACAGCATCACCCTTGGAATTAAGAGGTGATGCAGGGTGCAAGAAACAGTAATCTAGGTCACTCTGGGGATAAATAGGTGGTACCAAGGGCATTTAGGAGATGTGTGTGCTGGTAACCATTCCCCAGACTTTCTGGAGTAAGCCCTGCCTCTCCCACCCCAGGTTTGGTCAGGCTGTGGTGAAGCTGAGAGGACTGTTAGAGCAGAGCAGAGCATGGTCCTACAGAGGAAAGGTATTTCACGACTATAAGGACAGATCCTGATTTCCTTCCTCAAGCAGACTTTCTTTGCTGTCCATGTGAGTTCTATTGGACTAAAAAGCAGTGCAAGCAAAAGAAACTTTTAAGGTATTTTCTATGGAGAACTATTTAATGAAATCTCATGAAAGAAATACATAATATGTCTGTGGCTCTGGGCCTGGAAAAGAATTTAAAGACTCACAGAGTTTAACCTCAAGCAGGGCAGGGGGTGAGGGGAACTGGCTATTTTTGTTGAGATGTATTAAATGAGGAGTTCTTGCTTGTTTTCAGTAGCAGCTGTTCAAAACCGGTGGACATATTCTTACAGAATACACAAGACAGCAAACTGATAATTACACAAAAGGAAAGGGAGTTGAAATATTAGCATTCTGTTTATTTCATGAAATGGATATAGATACTGTACTAAGAGCAGAAATGTAAATTATTTCATTACGCATGGCATGGATAGTGTGAAAAGCTACCGTAAGTGCAAACAGTTTTAACAAACAGGAACACAGTTGCTTTATACAGTAAAATAACTAAATATAATTCAGTCATTTAATCTTAATAAGAACATTGTTATTATAATACCTTTTGACTTTAATAGGGCTGTATATATGAATGGAAGATGTAAAATTATTGTAATTTAAAATTATGTTAAGTCTCTTAGATAAGTAGAGGCATTTACATTACTATTATGAGACTGTAGAATATTTTTATAATAATTGCTATTTTTCATTGTTAAGCGTATAGTATCTTGTTTTCGAAGTCAGCGTATGCAGACAGAATGTACTTTATTACACACTGTACATGCAATCTTTTTAAAATTTCATTTTATACATTCCGGTATTTTATGTTTATTATATGAATACAATTAAAGGACTGAAATTAAAACATCTCTTTATATGTCCCTTGTGAAACTTCACTATCCAGTCCCTCAAAGAATACCGTCACAAGACAATATAATAACATCCACTAAGAACATCTGAGATACCTAACAGACAAAACACTTCACAACTGCTAAACATTTACTCCATTATGATACATCATGATCCAGTAGCCTCCCATTAATAAAAATAATTGATACATTCTTTAATATGGTCTCCTGCCATCTGCTTATTCCTGCTGCTAAGGCTTTGATTTATGGAAAGTGTTTTCAGAATGTTGCAAAATTGCTAGCAGGCATGATGATATCAGTTAAATCACTAAGAAGCTCTACAAAAACCTTTTAATGTACTAGATGTTCCCCAGACAATCTAGGATAAACAGAATATTGTATTTTAAGATGTAAAACATTTTTTTAAAGCTGATAATTAGGTAGCATTTGGCACTAAAAGATACTCTTACTTAATGAATTAAGTAAGGATTCAGATTGCATTTTGAATTCCTAATATCAAAAGGGCTGCTTTCTTTAGAAGATATTTGGTGCTTTCTGTGCATGAAATGATGCAAAAGTTGTTAAGTAGCAATATATATTTCAGCTATAGTTTTGTAATAGTTCATTGTTTCATGTAAAATAGTGCTCATTGTTTGTGTACATCAGATAAACCTTCTATTTGTAATAAAGTTGTTCTCCAGACTCTTTATTTCATCAAATCATTAAGACAGCCCTATCAGTACTAAAACAGAATATTATTATAAATATTATTTAAAGTTCAGTGATTAGCCGTGGAAATAAGCTTTGCTTTTCTACATATTTATTAGGCACTTAGGATTTGATCATAAAAGGTACCCAGCTCCTTTGTGAGGGACTGAGTGCCCTCAGTTCACTTTGAAGAAAGGCAATGCTCAGCCTGTTGCAGACTCACACACTTAACGATTAAATAAACAGCATCAGAAAATAAAATCAGAAGTTATTTCAGAGATTAGAAAAGCACTATGTGATACACTGCTTGATTAAAAGTAGTGATATTTGCAATTGACAGACAAACAGAATTAATGTCAGCATCATTTGTACTAACAACCAATGGGAGATTAGAGCAAAATGTATGAAGTTGTGATAATAATCAGACTGAAAGTCTAATTATAAAGGAGGCTGCAGCAGTAAAGTATGCTAAGGCTTAGTGGTTAAATCACCGGTACCCATCAAGTTAAATATATATCAGTTTCATTAATTGGCAACCACAAGACAAATGTTCTATATTCAGGGTGGTGACGATTTTGATATAATCCACCACATTGTGGTTAAGTATATGATTCATGTAATAAGAAAAAGGTGCCTCCAGGCTATTGTTCCTAGCATGGATTAAAATTTACATATTGCTTCTCCTTATGTCAAAACATCTGGTGCCTGCAAATGCTAACATTTCGTTAAAAAGTTTCACAAGATAGGAAAAGTGGATTGGAAACACTGCATGTGAATCATTCAAGCATTATAATGGAATAAGAGGCTGAGTTATGAACAGGCAGATTGAACAATAGTATA